TAATTCTACTGTTCACATCTAGTCCACCTGCACAGATACTTTTGTGAGGGAGCTCACTGAGGTTCTACCTGGCATCCTAGCATTTGCATTTAAACAATAAATTATGGCACAATAATTCTGTGGACAGAAGCCTGTTGGTGGGTTAAGCCCAATCAGCTGCCTTGTTCCCTCTCATTTTACTGTTTCAATCACTTCCCATCCTACCAATCAGACATTTGAAGAAAAATCCCAGAGCTATTTTAGAGACCTGATCAAAGTTATGTTCAGTAGACTTCTTTCAAATGTCATTTGCTTTTTCCAGCCATGCACATCTTCAGTCACTGTGTCACTTCTGCAAGCTCTGTTAATCCATTTCCATATAGTTATCCTTCTTACTGCATTTTACCCCCAGTCTTCCCTAGTTCAGAATCCATCACATGGCTGTCGATCACTCTCTGCTAAGAAAATCCAATTGTGCAGCAAAAAAGTGCACCAGTGAATTGAACTGCTGATTGCAATAGTACTTATTTGGAAAAATAGTATTTATTAAGGTTTATTCCTGTGTAAGAATCATTAACCTAGGGAGGCAGTTTTTAGAAGACTAACATCATGCACTGCTTGCTCATGCTCTGAGCTGCCTTCCCATGTTTCTTCTAAGGGAAAGTTAATTTGGATGTGTAGGTGTGAGGTTTCCAAATTGTGTACGGCAGATATGTGTTTGTATGTGGTACAGGCCAGTGTGGCTGGTGCACTTACCAGAGTGTATCAACAGTGCTGCTGCTTCACCCTTAACAGTTGCCTCAGGTTTGAGAAAATTACTTGGATTTAGTACTTTGTAGTTTTTCTGGCATCTGAAAAGTAGATAGATCTGAACCATGAGTGTGGAAGTACAGATGTCTCTCTTCCAGACTGTATCTGTTTCAGAAGTGTTTGGTTTTTTATGAAAGACGTGACCAGGTGATAGATATTTCTAGTCACTGCATTTCCTTCTTTCATGTCCAGTGCTGAGTTGTGCTGTTGTACCTATTGCAATTTTTCTAAGGATCCCAAATGTTCAAGTGTCTATCCCTCTCTTGATGTTTGCCTCGGAACTATCCAGGCTAGTGCCAGTGAGTGGAAGACTCCTCTTTTATACAGCACTCTGTTGCAAAGAGCTCCTAAGCCAATCTGAGCGTTCTGGCACACCCTGGCTGCTCTGAAGAGTACTACCTGGTAATGCGAGAACCTTTCACTTTCGATTATCCCAAAATCAGCGTCCTGCAAGCCTGTTTATGGCAAGTATAAAGGATGTAGTTGCAAAAAACTAAATACAGGTACCTACCTGAGTGGGAGACAGCAGCACTTCTTTCCTCCACTCAGCTGGTGGCTCCCACTCCTAGGGCAGGGAGGAGGCGGGCTGCTGCGTGCTCTGAAGGCATGCTCTGTATGCCCAACCAAGCTGCGCAGCCCGGCTCTGCCCACCTCCGGAAAGGTGACATCTCTGAGAGGTGCCGGGCCAGCCAGCAACATGATTACATGCTTCCTCACTGGGTTTTGACCATAGGCCCAGGGGGTTGAACACCCCTACTTGTATTAAAAGCACAAAAAAGAGCAAATTTTGCTCTCTCTGTTCTTATGCTGGGGAATTTGGCTTTGATGGAGATAATATTCCTCTCCTTTCCAGTAATGAGTAATACAAAAGATAAATGTTTTGATGGGGCGTTTTCTTTCCCTCCTGCACGCCCCCCCACTATTTAGTGACAATTAAATTATTTCTTTAGAGACGATGTATTTGACAATCAGTTATATAAAAAGGTGTTTGTAAATATAACTATAACTAATAAAACTAATAAGAGAAGAAAATATACTAAGGAGGGATTATTGGGTATTTACTGTTTCCTATGCTTCTTCCTATTGCACCTGTACTAAATCCTGCCAGAGACAAGATGCTGCAATAGGCAATCTGCTGGGTCCATTAAGAACATTAAAAAAATAGCATATGGGATCGTTAAGTGATCTTCCATTATACATTTCCTGTGGCAGAGAGAAGCTCATACATTCATCCTGAGCTCTGCTTTCTTTTTATACCTATGAAAGGATTATTCTTTTGAATAAAACATGAGTGGGAAAACTTCATTGGCTTGGATTATGCCATTTTCTGCAGCATGAAACATGAGTCAACTTCTGTCAGTGCATAATAGTCTAAAGGTTTTAACAAATGTGGAAAACTATTCTTCCTAATTAAAAAAAAAATAATACGTGAAGCTCTTTGTTTCTGTAATGAAATTGCCACCAGGACAAACACATTAGAGGTACAGAAACAGAATTCGCATTCAAAAAGCAGTAGTTGACTGCATGCTATTAAGATAAGGAAATAATATGCTTCCAGCTGAGTGACTGTACTTCCTTATGATCCATTAGACAAGCAGAATTTACAGCTCATTCCAAACTACTTGTAATTCCAGTAAAAAAGCAAAATATGATGTCAAAACTGGGGAGTCATAGATGACCTTAGCCCAGCACAAGAATCAAACTTGTAGGGAACTAAAGTGATAGAGAATATTGCTTCACACCTCAAGGATGTTTAATTCAAGTAACAGTTTTCAGAACATTTGGGATGGCAATATGATTCATTAGTTGCACTGTACAAGCACTATACTGTACTGCACTGCATGAGAAATGTTATGAATCTTTAAGAACCACAAAGTGAGTTGTGCTAAAAGGACAGAACTGAGCAGCTGGGAACATATGCTCTAGATGGAGAAATAAATGCTGAATTTTAAAACATACAAAAGATACTTGTAAAGCACACACATTTTAGTGGAAAAGCAATGCAGGAAACAAGTATTTCCTGTAATGACACTAGTAGCCTACTGGTTTTAACTTGTGTGCTCTTTTCTTTTTTTTTTTTTTTTCGGGTAGAGTTTTTCTCAGAATCAGAGAAATAAGCTGAGAATCAGAAAGTCCCTCTCATTTTTCCTCCCCATTTTGAGGCAAGACTGGTTGTATCTAAACTATTCCTGACAGATCCCTGCTAAGTTCTTAAAACCTGCAGAGAAAGATGCAGCACATTATCACTGAGCAATCTACTCCGGTACTTACCTGTCTTTCCCATTAGATCCCTTTCCACCTGTCTGATGTACACCTCCAATGCTGCATTTCTAGTCCATACTACTTGTCTCATTCTCAGAAGATATGAAAAAAGCTTATTCCCTTCTTTTTTTTTTTTTTTTTAGCAGCTTTTAAAGTTTGCTATCATGTTTCTCCACGGTTTTCTTTTCTCCTGAGAAACCAAATCACATTTTCATGTTTCCACATTTACTGTCTAATAATTCCTATGAGCTCATCTTTTGGATTGTAACATTCACAATTGGAAATGGGGATCCCAGGGAGGCCATATCAGTGCCGAGAAGAGCAGAATGATTACTTCCTGTGATTCACTGTAAACAGTTTTGTTTTTATCTTTCAGTATTTCAGTAACATTATTTAATTATGATTGATTTTTTTGTAAACAGTCATTACACAAATTCTTATTTACATTAATACTACATGCCATTGACAGCTATGTGTAGCTTAATTTTGGTTGTCACTATTTCCTGTCTAGGACTGGGGTTTTTTTGGAGGGTTTTTTCTACTGTTAGTTTGTTTGGAGATGTTTGTTTGGTTTTTTTTAAGTTGCTGTCATTGTTTCATTTTGTTTCAGACAGTTTCTCCTATTTGTCAAGACGTTTCATTCTAATCTTCCTTTCACAATAAGCTTACAGCCCCACATGGCTTCTTACACATTTAATGCATAATATTTTGTTCAGGCCCCTAATGAAAATATTTAAGATTATAGAACCCATAAAAATCTCCCAATAGTACTATATTCATCCTTTAACTTTTAACCTATTGAAAAATTTTCTCCAATTGCTTATCTGTTTTCTGGGAAGCTAATGAGGAGTTTATTTTTTGAAGAAGCCAAGCAAACATCCTGTTGGACAAGGTCAAAAGTCCTATTCAATTCAAAATATCTGTTTTCACCCAACTAGCACGTTTGTTGCCGTGTCTTAAAAATTTAATTGGTTCAACAGGATTTTTTTCTTTTTACAAACCCATACTGATTATTGCTTATTAGTTCAATGTCTTCTAGATGATAAGTAGATTTTTCAGGTTTCTCTTTTTCTTATATTTCTTTGAGAACTGAAGTTGCAATGATTTCAGTAGCTTTTAGGCCTCTTCTATTGTTTGGTCTCTCTTATTCTCTAGGAATGAAACACTTCATGATGTTACGATCAATGTCTACCATGTTACCAGTTTTCCAAAGTTATTCAGACCTGAAGAAGACATTATTCTTTGGGTCCTGTCTTAACTTACTGGATCTAAAGATATGTCCCGCTTGCCTGTTGTATAGTCTTATTCTCTTTCTTCAGTGAGTCAGAAGTTAGAAACCTGTCATTAATATCAAAGCCTATCTGTCAGATGACTGTGCTAACACTTTTTCCCTTTTGTTCTTTTCTAAAGGCTTCTTCCACTTGATCTTGTTATTTTAGAAACCAGCAATAGACCATACCTGACAGCAATACTGTTGGGCTTTTTCTTTCTATCACTGTGCAGAGATCTAATGAGTCTTAACTGTCATCAGAGCTTGGATTCAGGGAAAGTGCATATGCCCTTGATATACAAAATTGTACCTCTTCTTTCTGTTTCTTAGCAGGTGGCATTATTCTTCATCAGCATTCATGTTCTAGAAATGATCAACTGAGTGATAGCTTTCATGATAAAATAACATTTCTTGCATACACACATTTTTGTTTGTGTTATTTTGCCATAGTTCTCATTTCAGTGTAGGAGCATCTAAAATGTTGCTGATACTGCTGAATATTTTCCTATCTAACCAGTTTCCCCTTCGCTAGAGATTTGTATGTTCATTATGCTGATAAGCTCCTGATCTTCCTTGAAACTCGTTAACCTAATTCAATCATCCAAATTCTCCCACTTAATCAATCTAATACAAGATACCTATCACACCAGGTGACCTTCCTGACATTTTTTCTTGGCAGGAAAGTGGAAGACACATTTTGTGGAAGCACAGACCAGGATATAGTCTGAGGATTCTCGCTCTATCACACTGAAGGCATTCTGACAATACAGCAGTATCCAGCCAATTTGCTTCTTCCTTCTGGAGTCTTCGCAAACTTGAATGTTTGCTTCATATGTTATTGTTGAAGGATCAGTACATACAAAAAAGTTAAATGCGTGTCCTCAAAACTACTGAGAAGGAATTGAGGGCAGCCTAGGTAAGCACTCAGATGGAAAAGTGTAACATCATGAACCACACTGGAATTGTTATCATGAAAGACTATTTTGTATATGAGGCTGGAGAGAGAGAAATGTTTTTAACTCGGGAAACTATGAATCCAGATTAGTCTTTCTTCATGACAATAGTAGGGATTACTGCATTAAAGTAAGTGCAGTACTTTTTGGTTTTGAGAGCAAAACAATGTAAACAAAATGTAACAGATGTAAAAAAAAAAAGTAACAGAACCTGTGGTCTGATCATATTTAACTTCTCATTGCAAAATAGGAGCACAAGCATAAAATAAGACAGCAGGTCTGATTGTAATTTTTTATGTCATAACTGATAACACTGAATATAGCCAAGGAAAATGGATAGTAGAATTAACAAGAGCTACTTGTAACTGCTGAAGAATACAATGTAAAACATTCATTGACATTATATCATACAGAAAATATGCTTCTTTATTGGAAATAGAGGTCAGTGCAGTAATAATTTCAAACAAGCTAATCTATGTCTTAAAACCTCTGGAATCTGTCATGCTTTCATTGATGCCAAGGTCAAAGATAAGGGCTGTGCTCAGCAGGCATACATCAAAAGTACAAATTACTGCAGCCACTTACTGTAGCAATTTCTGAATAACTGCTACCATCACTGGGATATAGGTCAAAATAATTATCATTTTTAGCCCCTTAGATAGCTGTTATGTTCCTAAGTATGTCTTATTTATCTAAGAGCCAGACGCAAAAGCATACCTAGGACTTAGAGGAAAAACAAGCAAGGAATATTGAATCAGTGGTTAGAGCTCTTAGATGGTAAAGTTGAGTCTTGCATACAGGTCAAGCTCCCATAGTCATTACTATTTCTTGTTTCTCATCTACTCTTAATGCAAAATGTATCCCGGAGAGAATCAGGGCACCTTGATTCTCGCTCCCTTTCCCTCTTATCACCACCACCCACTTTTAACTCTCCAGAACAGGATCTGCAGTTGAGAGCAGAGATGTCTGACTGTAGAAACTTCTGGAGGCTCACCGTAGTCCACTGAGTGCTCTCCACTTCCTCATCCAGGGACCCCAATGAGAGGGATGAAATATGCACATCTATAAAAAGCCTACATGGTTCCACTCCAGGAAAGCCAGGTAACTGGGCAGTGCAAAGTGTTGGTGCCTAAATCCTTAGTTTAATAGGGAGGGAAATATGAGTATAGAAGCTGTCCCAGCACTGCAGGGAGCTTAAAAGCATTGGTTTGTTATAAGCTCTAAAGGCAACATCTCAATTTTACAAGTAATGTTAATCAGGAAGCTGTTAGGGGAAAGGGCTAATTTGTTATTAAAAATCACAGAAGGATATGTAATTAAATTTGAATGAAAAGACTTCTAACTAACCACAGGGCTTTGATCCAAGTCCTTACAATGGTTACAAGTTGTGGCAATTACTTCATATCTTCCCAAAATGTAAAGGCCCAGTAAAGACTTTTCTCTGACATCACAGAGAAGAATAAATTAAACAAGAGACCAAGATCAGTACAGGATTTCAGTTGAATTTGCATTTAGGCTCCAAAATCAATCCTGAAAATGTCTTTTGCAGCTGCTGCTGGACACTGAAGGTACTTAGGTAAGACAAACACTTTGACTTCTTTGGGCAAACCGAACTGCTGAACTGTTTAACTAACAACCACCAGAAGGTCTGTTTCTGGTTACTTGTGGTATTGTCTTTGCTGACAGGATTGAGGGGTTGGGTGCCTGGATCCCACGTCTCCTCCTGTTCTGCAGCTTTACAGAAAGGGCCCAACACCCTGGCCCAACAGGTCACCAGCCTCTGAGCTGCTGCCAGAGCACCACATGTGTTGCACACATCCATAGGATTGGCATTCAGATGTAATTGAGTCATATCTCCACCTGGGGAGGGAAAGTTGACCTGACTGTAAGAGAAAGGTATGACTTTCTGTCCTAAGAGTTTGAACGGTAATTCAAGAACAAGCAGCCCCAAAACCAAGATCCCATTCTCACAATTTTACATCTCTCATCTGGTGGCTTTTTCAGTCACTGGCCAGTGGAATATTTTCAGTAGGAGCAGAGGAACATAGCATTCATATTTTGCTAAAGTCTGATGACAAAAGAGATGGAAAATAGTGGCAAGTTTCCCTTTAGTAAGTAGATTATAACTTCCCTGCGTAATTTCTGAGTATATATAAAGTGTTAGAGCAGATCTCTCCTTTTTTTTTTTTCTCTTTTTTTTAGGCTTGGCATTTATGTTAGCATGAGAATTTTTCACTAAAGTACAGGAAAACATCTTCCTTATTGAAATTAAATAAGTTTTAATTTTGTTTTTTTTTTTTTTTTTAGTTTTGCATTTCTCTTGGCCTTTTTCAGTATTTCTTTTGGACTTTCTCTTTTTTCATTCAGCTTGTCTGAGAGAGGAGGAGCAAAATTCAAAGTTTCCTGGGTTCTGCAAGGCATAATGAGAAGAGGCTTTATGAAGCATATTGTTGTCTTGGCTCTCAAGGGAGGCAAGCAAAATCAGTTATCTGTGAATTTCTCTCTATAACATAAGGAAAACTTAGTTTTTCAGAGGTATGGTATGTAGCTAAGTCTAATAAAGCTAGTGAGGTATTTATATATATATGTCTGTGGTCTGAGAGACAATAATTGTCAAAAGTAATGTGAATGGAATGGAACAGAGAGGAATGAGAGCATGCAACGAGTGATAGAGCCACAGAGCAATGTAATTTAACAAAGCAGATGAAGGAATAGAGACCAACCTGCTCAGCTCAGGGAGCTGCTGGCAGCTTGCTTACCTCATGCTGAATGCTGCTCATTGTTTAATCAGTCAAGATATAACTCCTCTGACTGTGTTTGGGGAATCGAGGGAAGAAATACTGAAAACATACTTTTCTGTATTAGTTCCAAGGCTCAATTCTGACACCTCTTTACTACTGTCATGTGTGACTTTTATGAGTCAGCTCAACAACAGAGCACAGTTATTTAGGGTCAGAGTATTCCTTGACACACTTACAAATTGAAAAGGGAGTGAAAATAAGGAATCAGTCATAGGACTGGTCAAGCAGCAATTTTCCATCACCACACAGGCAATGTAGGAGAAATGGTCCCTCTGTTAGTATGCCCCAGCAGGGCATTTTAGAGTGTGATCTGGGTGGTAACATCAGTGTTAAGAATATGTTTGCACTGGCTAAGTCTCATGTGCTGAGCATGCAGCCAACACTGCTAGTTCACGTTAGGCTTCCACTTCCTACTTTTCGAGTATAAAGCTGTACTTTTTTTTTTCCATCTCTGAAACCACATATAAATTTCACTGCCTCTGTGTTGTAGTCCAGTGGACAAAGTATTGGAAGGGATATTAGAAAGCTCTCTAACAGCAACCCAGCATGAGAGAGGCTCCCACTCACTGGGAGGAAAGAAAGTGATCCATCAGTCATGGGACATAAAAGAATGAATGGAGAATGGAAACTACATTATTTCAAGCTAAAATTAAAGCTCTGGATAACTTTGTTTCACCTCTGATTAATTTAAAACTTTGATTAACCAGGTCTGGCTTTTCTTTAATAGAGACCAGAATTACATTTTCTCTGTAACTTATTTATGCTTATAAATAAGCTGGCAAGCCAAATGAGTCAATGTGGTCTTTTAAGTCCAGGTCTTTACAGGTCCTGGCAAAAGAAATGTTTATGCATATTTCAGCCAACGTATTCCCATCGGAGAAAATTCTGATTACTTCACCTTTATGTCCTCTCTGATTCTATTGACTGCTTTGTCTCACAAATGGAAGAGATATATCTAATTAAATTATAAATATCACCATCCTGTGTCTTGGTGCTCTTCCTCTTCCTCCAAAAAGAAAAGACCAAAGGCTCATTCATTTAAAGGCTACAAAGATTTTAGGTGAAATCCCAGTGTTATTGAAGACAATGTCAAAACTCCCACGGAGTTCAATCAGGTCGGGGTTTCGCTGCTTGGTTTTGTAAAGCTGATGAATAAGAGAGCGTGGGCTATGGCTATATACAACAGTCACAACTCACAGAACGTGAATCATCCACTGTAAGACCTGGCTTTTATAATACAAGAAAAAGGTCATCCTGGGAAAATGAGAGTTGCAAATATAAAGCTGAAAAAGGGAAGTGGTTTTGTCCTGTGCATAGTCCCTTTAGGAACACTGTAGCACAACTTTCTCATTTCTGAGTGAAGCGCTTAGAGTCAACATTAGCTGCTGAACAAAATTGGGCATAAAGTGCACAGGGTAATGTAGTAAAAATTAGCATTATAAATGTCTCTGTACCAATAAAAAAAGATAAAAACAAAAACAGATGAGATTTGGCAAAACACTTAGTTGCAATCACACATATCTGAAAGCCAGGGAAGTGACAATTATTGCAATACTTTCTCATAAAGTATTCCCATTTGTCATCTTAACTCTGCTTTATGCTACACAGAAGAAAATTTGTAAGTTCTGTTGAAAATAAATGTGAGAAGAGATGATTCTATAAAAGGGTATAACTCTGACTAACCTCGTGTTTCCCAGTGTGGACAGGAACAGGACCCTGGGGAATGGCCTGAAGTTGTGTCAGAGGAGGTTAGGCACTGGAACAGGCTCCCCAGGGAAGTGGTCACAGCACCAAGCCTGTCAGAGTTCAAGAAGCATTTGGACAATACTCTCAGGCACATGGCGTGACTTTTGGGGATGGTCCTGTGCAGGGCTATGGGTTGGACTCGATGATCCTTATGGGTCCCCCTTCCACTCAGCATATTCTGTGATTCTGTGCCTTGCCACTTACTGTCCCATTTTTGCAGAGTGATGGGAGCTTAAAGAAATGACAAATTTACTTGAGGCAAGCAAAAAACCAAAACCTTATTTACCAACTTAAAAGACAGTTGTAAAGAATGAACAAAATAGGAACATGGGTGTGGAGTAGGTGATCAGAGGTCCCTTCTGACCTGAATTGACTTTTGATCCTGTGGAAACACAAGAATCTGCAAACTCAAAATGCATAAGATCTCAACCTGCTCTTGTTGCAGGAAGGGATTTCTCTGATGCCTTTACTGGCTGCAAGGACCCAGCTCAATCATACTGCTTCTTCCATCCTATTTGTAGAACATCCTTACTAATCTGCTAATTAGAGACTGGATATTTGTACTGTTGCCTTTGTTTAGGTATCTGGAACTTCTGAAAATTTTAATGGTTGCTCTTCAGTTTGTCTGAAAATTAGTGAGATTCTCATCTCCTTAATACTAATTCCTCCACCCATATAAATCTTTTTTCTCCTGGGAAATCAACTGAATTAAGCTACAAATCCACAGTTGGAATATTTTGGAAATTCTGTATGTGAAAGGTATGCTTCTTTCTTCACAGTGGTCTTTCTGTGTGCTGGCTTTTACAAAGACAGTAATAGCACCTGAATTCATATATTTTATTTTAAATGCACCTTGCTACAAAATATTATTGGTCTCCAGATCAGTAATATACTAATAAATTCACCCTGTTAAAAACCATATCTTTGGGGTTAGGACAAAACAAAACAAAGTAACAACAAAATTAAAACATTTTCATTAAAAATTTCACATTTTTTTTAACCTTAAAGGTTCCATCATTTTTCAGAAAACATTGATGAGGCCACATAATAATATGTCAGTTACCATTGTCATTGATTGTATCTAGTGAGTAGCAGCTCACAATTTCCTCTTTCCATTCTTGCTGGATTTGTTTTATTCTGTCAGAGGAAGAAAAAAAGATGAAGACCTTATCTCTGCTTTACCTACACTTAGAAACTAAGATGTTTGTCCAAATTGGACACTCTAATATTTGTTTGAAAAGAAGTACCAGTATTGGGATTTTACCTACAGGCCTTGGACCAAATCCTGCAGCACACTGAGTCTGTAATAGCAGACTTATTATATAACTGATTCAGCTTTGATTTAGTTCAGAGCATCTGGCTTTTAATTGCATAGAAATCCATAAGCCAGGAGGGAAGGGAAAAGAATCATTGTGACTCATCTAAAGATTTAGATAGCAGAGCCATTTTTGGGGATCTTTTCCACATGAAATTAACCTTTGCAAATGGTAATTGATACAATCCTCTTGCTAAAATAAGGCGCCTTCTTGTAACCTGGGGAGAACTTTTTCAAATTATAGACAACACCTCCACTGCAGATGAATTCAGTAAATGAAGCTACTGACCATGTTTAAGAAAGAAAATCCAAATGTAGAGCCAACCTAAAAGAGTAGATAATAAAAATGGCTCATTTGGCTACAGTCTCATTTTAGTACTTCTGCTTTAAGAATTTTGATGGAGAATATTCCTTTAGAATGGCTCCTTCTGCAATAGGATTGAAATTGTTTATTTCATAAATTAATATTGACTGTTACCTTACTGTATTACAGACAGGAAAATAGTTTCTGGTAAAGATTGGGAAATTTTGTTTTAA